CTAAGTGTGTGACCACACTTGGGGGATTCCAGGAGAAAGCCAGCCCAGGACAGCCAGTGTGGCCCCTGGATGGGGAGCCTGGTCTCCAGGGCCTGATGCTTGGCCTGTGTCAGAGGTGCCCAGAAACATGACACATGACTTTGCTTTCCACTTGGTACCCCAGTTGGTGGCCAGCTTTAGCAAGGTTCCTCTTGAGCCTTTTTTTTTTTTTTTTTTTTTTTTTTGTGGGATTGGAGTTTGAACTCAGGGCTTCATGCTTATAAAGTCTGCAGTCTACTGCTTGAGCCATACCTCTAGTCCATTTTGCTATGGTTATTTTGGAAATGGGGGAGTTGTGAACTATTTGCCTGGACTGGACTCAAACTGTGATCCCTGATCTCAGCCTCCCAATAGCTGGGGTTGTAGGCATGAGCCACCAGCGCCCAGCTTCAAGTCATTTTCTAATGACTACCCTGCTTCTTAGGGTGACAACTTCAGTGTACTGGATTTATTGCTCTTGTTTTTTGTTTTTTTTTTTTAAACACTTCATTTTTATTAACCTCTAAAACCAGCTCTGGGCTTCAAGGGAAGTCCATCCCCCTTCCAGGGCAGGACCAGGTTGGCAGGCCTCACTCTGGCTCAGTGGGCCAAGGGCAGAGCAGGAACAAAAGGAAGAGGGTGGAGGTCAGAGGCTGTACAGGAGGCCAAGCTCCTCTGGCCTCTGGTTTCCTGTGCTGTGGCAGTGACAGAGGGGGCACTAAGGTGAGGGGTTTAGCCTTTAGAGATCAAGGGGCTGTGAGGAAGGAGGTGCAGGCCTAGAGCCCCGCCAAACATTGTCATGAGGGTCCCCTGGCATCTAGTGAGCCCCCAGGTACACCCCAGGGCACTACTTGCTGAAGGCGGCTCCCCCTCCACTGAGGCCAAACAGGTCTGGTTCTGGCTGTTTGTCCCCAGCTGCCCAAAGATGGGGCCACCCACCACAGGCTCCTTACTGAAGACTAAAGGACCCCACGTAGGGTTGGTGGGAACAGGAAGTAAAAAAATTCACCCCAGCAGACTCACAGCTAACTGTGGTGAGAGCTGTGCCATAGGGGAAAGACCAGGGCCCAGCTGCTAGAAGGACTCAGGCTTGAATGTGGCTCTGTCCCCTGCTAGATTTCCCAGGTGCCTCCTAAATGCCAGGCATTTAGCTATGTGCAGAAGTGCCGGGGTCACTTGTCTGGTTTGGTGAGAGGTGAGCCAAGAGAGGAATGGCTTGGACTACCTGGGGGGCCACCCAGGACATCTCTGAAACTCAGCTCTGGAGGCCACTCAGTGTGCACAGAGCTCCTGTGCCTGCAGAGCCTTAGGCGTTTCAATCCCCCCAGCCCTCCCCACCACCACCAAAGCCACTTTGGTGTACCAAGGGAGTCAGCCACCCACAGATTGCAACAGAGGCCCAGCATTTTGTGCTTGGGACCCAGTGCCCTCCTGGACCTCAGCTGTAAAGGCAGCTGTTTCTCTAGGGGAGAGGTCAGAATGTGTGGCCATGACTTGACCATGGCTAAATGCAGAAACAAAAGGAAAACAGTTGAGCTTCTCCTAGTGGTGTGTATTGCCAGTGGTTCATAACTTTCTGTTTCCTTCCTGTGCCCCACCCTGGGGACCCACTGTGATATGAGAAGGTGCTCTCCTGGGGCTCCCCAGCACTACCTGTCTCCCTCCTTCAGGTGATCTGAATTCCCAGGTATTGGCTCCCAGGACCCGTGGATGGCACCTGCCTTCTGGGACTAGTGTGTGAGCACTCAGGTGTCCCCCACTGATATCCCAGGGGCAGATTCATCTGTCCGATCACTAATCTAATCAGGAAATAGCAGAGTCCACATTTCCCAGGGGTTATAAATAGTCACAGCAACTCAGGCAACATCATTTCTCTGGAAAATGTGCTGTGTCCTTCTCTACTCCCTACCCTCCCTTCTCTGTATTTAAATGACATCCTGAAATAGATTTGCTTTCTGGAGGCTGCTGGCCTCTGGGGAGACACAACATTATCACCAGGGTGCCAAGGGGAAGCCTTTCTGAGCAGGTACCAGGGCCATACCTGCAGCAGGGGCTGGGAAGATGGCAGTGGTATGGATTCATGGCAAGACGAGAAAGGGGTCCTCACCCAGAGCAGGCCCCAGAAAGGCTGGAGCATGTCAAGCAACAGTAAATGGCACCTGGCTGGCTGTGGAGGGGCCACAAGGCAGTAGGCCTCAGTAGCCTGAGATTCTGCAGGAGGGCTTTCTGGAAAAGGGGGTCGGAACCAGGCCTCGGCATTGGGAATTGCTTTCCTATCTCAAACACCCCCAGGAAAATGGACCATGTGATGGGGAAAGAGGGAATGGGAGGCTTGTGTTCAAGGCAGCCGCACAGGAACCCCATGCCAGGAGGCCTGATGTCTCCTTATGAGAAAGAGGCCCAGCAGCAGCCAAGGGAGGAAGCCTCATGCTGGCGGGGGTGGGGAGAGGGTGCTCTTCCCAAGAGGTGCCTGGTTCTACCCATGCTGCGTCTTTGTTTCCTGTTCTCCCCTCCTCAGGGCAGGGAACTGGCTGCTACAGATGGGGCCTGGACCTCAGCTACCAAACATAGGGTCCACAGCCAGCCAGGTGCTGCCCCAGCGCCGACAGGTGATAGAAAGTGTGGGAAGGACCTGGGCTGACCCAGATCCAGTTTTCCTTCTGGGCAACGGTGACCTGTTGGAGGCACACATTGCCCCGAGGGGTGTACAGACACACCCCCCACCCAGGGCAAGATGGGCAGGGAGAACTTGAGGGAGTCAGTTTGTGGGTCCTCGCCCACCTCTGACAGCCGGCATCTCACCATCGCCCTCTTTCTGCCCATGAAAGGCCAGGCTCAGTCTTGCTGTAGGGCTTGTCCAGGGCACCCAGATCTCCTGGGTGACATCAGAGGGGCCTAGAAAGTAATATTCTAATGGCTAATATACAGCCTTCAAAAGTCGGGTGGTAGCCAGGTCCTTACCTTCACTAACCTAACAAGGACCTAATTATCAGCCGAGAAAGCACTGGAAATACTGTTTGATGACAAGTGTAGAGGTAATGTGAAATAACATGACATGGAACAAGGTGAGACACCTAACACTGCCCTAATAAAACTCTGTGAGCCTCATCTAGGATTTATGTGAAGAAAATGATTCATTGCTTACAGCTTTTAAAATAAAAACCAAAAGACATAAATGGAATTCATTCTAACCCTCATTTTACTCTAACCAAAAATTATATTCATGGAGACAATGTGAACTACAGTAGGAAAACTTTCTACCTATCTTTTTTTTTTTCAGACTCAGAGTCTACACCTTCAGCCACTCCACCAACACTTTTTTGTGATGGTTTTTTCAAGATAGGGTCTCACAAACTGTTTGCCCAGGCTGGCTTTGAACCGCGATCCTCCTGATCTCTGCCTCCTGGGTAGCCAGGATTACAGGCTTGAGCCACAAGTGCCTACCTTCTACCTATTTCATTCAAAGATACAGTTCCTCCAAAATGTTACTTTGCTGCTTAGTATGTATTAAAATGTGTAATGTGTTGGAGTGTTTTTTCTTGTACTGTTAATCATGTTAATAACAAATCCAGAAGAATATATTTTATGTATTTGGGGCCTCATGGTCTCAGGAAATTTTTCATTTTAATATATATAGATATATTTTGGGAACAAAATACAATAGGGTGATCAATAAAAGACTTGAAAATATAAAACTATAAACTAGGAGGCTGGGTATGGTAGTACATGCCTATAATCCCAGCTACTCAGGAGGGAGAAATTGGGAGGATCACAGTTCCAGGCCAGTCCTGGCAAAAGTAAGACCCCATCTCAACCAATAAGCCAGGTGTAGTAGTGTGCACCTGTGATCCCAGCTATGAGGGAGACCTAGATAGGAGAATCTTGGTCTAAGGCCAGCCCCAAGCAAAAACGACGCCCTACCTGAAAAATAACTAAAGCAAAAAAGGCCTGGGGGTGTGGCTCAAAAAGTTAGCACAAGGCCCCGAGTTCAAACTCCATTACTGGCCCCCCAAAAAGCTATCTATTATATATAATTATGTACATACATTATATCTATAAGTAATACATATATACATATGTAATATATATGTATTTGTAAACTAGGAGGAACCTCTTGGAGAAATGAAATAAAAACAAATTCAAGGAGAAAAAGACAATGCAGGGTTTGTGTTTGTGCAGGAGAGAGAAGAGCTTGTTCGTGTGTTTTAAGTGGATGATGGTGGGTGTCGTCTCTATGGTAATTAGACTCCACTGCATACATTTAAAGAATGATGTAACTTTTATTTTAAGATGTCAATATTTACATTATTCTGGAAATTATAGTCTCTGCAGCTATTTAAACTTGCCAATGTAACATTGAGATTTTGACTCATTGTCTTTCAAAATTATTTTGTGGGTGCAGGCCACTGAGTCTCGTGAGACTCCCACTTTTCCCAGGCCCCAGCCCAAGTGGGGGGCTTCCTCAGTGGAGGGTCATGGATTGGGGAGCCACCTGCTAGGTTATCTCACTTGCGTACTCACAGTGACCCAGTGGGACTGGTTCTGTTACCACCAGCAGGGTACAGAGGAGACTTATGTGGTCAGAAAGCTACAGAGCTGCGACTCAAACCGACTCCTCAGAACGGGCTCTCACCTCTGCCTTGCCCCGCCTCTCCCACGTGCACAGGCTCAGGGCCAGATTTCCTCTGACGACGCCAATTCACGTGCTTGAATATGTCGATTACTTTCTGTGGCCTTCAGGTGCTGCATCTGTGAAATGGGCCAACAGCTGGTCAGGAGGCAGTGTGGTGGGATGGGTAAAAGTGCTTAACTGGACACCTGTCTCCTTCACTAGCCAGGGCCGGAGGGACCCTGAGGGTTGGTTTCAAAATGAATATCAAGGCACTTGCCTTCCTGGCATTTAGCTGACTCGAGAGCCCTGGCTGGCTTGGTCCCTGAACTGTCCTCCTCCTTACCCTCACAGTTCCTGTTTCTCTCTGCAGTTGGATCCACAAACTGTAGAAACCAAGAACTGGCACACGGATGTGATCGAGATGAATGGGGTGAGTTTAGCGGGTGGGAACTGTCTGAGCAGTTGGCCTGGCCTCCATCTCCCTTTTACCCAGCCTCTCTCCTCGCCTCTGCCCTGTCCCTTTTCCTCCCAGCTGCAGGTGCTTACAGAGGGCTGGGGTCTCCAGGTAGTCTTCCTGGGGAGGGAGAACCCTATGTTTGGGGGGCACTTCTGAGATGCTTATATAGTCTGGGGGATTTGTGCCTACCTCATACCCTGACCAGATCAAAGTGGAGTTCTCCATGAAATTCACCAGCCGGGATATGAGCCTGAAGAGGACCCCATCCAAAAAGCAGACCGGTGTCTTTGGGGTGAAGATCAGCGTGGTCACTAAGTAGGTGTACCCTAGAGTCTGCATGCTTGTCGTCAGTGCCTGGGTCCCCACTGCTCCCCTGCCTGTGCCAGCTCCTGATAAGTCACCCCTAGTTCAGTAGTCACAGGCAACCTCAGAGATGTGCTCTCTGGCTCACAGTGTGTCTTAGAAACTACTGCATCAGTGTGGAAACCATGGGAGGTCTCATGGGAAAAGCCCAGGCTGTCCACTTCAGTAAATGGGAAGATTTGACAACTGTAGGCCCCACATTTAGGCTTAGCAGCAAAAGTTGGAGTCCAGGGAGTGACTGTCCCTTAGGAAAGGGCAATGTCCTTCAGATCACACTGCCCTTATGTGGCTTACCTGTTGGGCCCCCAGCATTTTTTTTTTCTTGTGATGCTAGGGGTGGAACCCAGAGCCTTGTGCTTACCAGGCACGTGCTCTACCACTGAGCTGCACTGTCAGGCCTCTGGTAAACATTTGAATCTATGGGAATGTTCTTTCCCCAGAGTCTTTGGGCCTTCTGGAACTTTCTCCTGCCCGTGTCTCTTACTGTGCCTCAGCAGGCAGGCCTTGGCAGACAGGGTAGGGTCGCACAGCCTCTTCCTCAGCCTTTCCTTGCTCCGACTCCCTGCCCCAAAGGCTACAGCTGCCCAGGCCAAGGTATACTGGGGAGGGGGCCAGACAGCACAGCTGTGCTAGGAGGCCTCCTCTCACATCCCCTGCCCCACAGGCGGGAGCGCTCCAAGGTGCCCTACATTGTGCGGCAGTGTGTGGAAGAGGTGGAGAAGAGGGGCATCGAGGAGGTCGGCATCTACAGGATATCAGGGGTGGCCACGGACATCCAGGCACTGAAGGCTGTCTTTGATGCCAGTGAGTCTGGGAGGCCTCTCCCTCCACTCTAATCTTGTATCCACTGCTATAGGTAAGAACTGGACGGAGCTCAGAGACCAAGCCATTTACCCAGAATTACCAAGCTCGTAGGTTTTGAGCACTTTGTGACTCCAGAGACCTTTCTACTCCTGGCTTCCAGGCCTGGTGCTTAGAGGGCTGCAGGGAAATTGAAGGCTTTTGGCCTGGACTCTGCTATCCTCATGGGGCAGGTCTACCTCTGTGTAAGCCCCTCAGAGGCAGCCTGGTCTTTCAGGTTCCTCTTCCCTATCCTGCTGAGTCAGTCTGTGCCAGCATACACTATGGTCAGGAAGCCTGAACTGGGCAGGCAGCAGTGAGTCCAGTGGGGAAGTCTAAGACAGAGGACAGAATGGGGACCAGGAACTTGCTAGCATATGGCTCTTCTGTGCCACCTAGAAGTTGAGTCTTTGTCAGAATATGACTTGAAGTAGTAAAAATGTACATTGCCTTTCAGTGGGGCTTAGGGACGGGGGACTACAGCTGGAAGGAGGGTGCATGTCATAGAGAGTGGATATGACTCTGGGACTCTCACAAGTTATGCTCCCCTGCCCACAGCCAACAGCTGAGTCACAGAACCTGTGTCCTCCCTTTCTGGGAAAGGCCAGAGGCAAGATGGAGTAGGTGCTCTGGGACAGATCTGGGGGTACTGGAGCAGGGATGAGGGCTGACTGCTAGGGAGAGAAGGATGTCTCAGGCCAGCACAGCCCTGAGTTTGCCCATCCCCTACAGATAACAAGGACATCCTGCTGATGCTGAGCGACATGGACATCAATGCCATTGCTGGCACCCTCAAACTCTACTTCCGGGAACTGCCCGAGCCCCTCCTCACAGACCGACTTTACCCAGCCTTCATGGAGGGCATCGGTGAGGCTTCCAGGGTCCTGAGGGTCAGCTGGGCTCACCCAGACCTCCCTTGCCCACTGACCTACCCAATACACCAGGTAGCTGTGTAGCTGAAGGGCACGAGGGCGAGGTATAGTCTGCTGGGGCCTGGTGTGGAGGCTGAGCGGTCACTCACCAGCCTCGTGTCCCCACGGCAGCCCCTGTGCTTCCTCCTTGCTCGCTGATCTGCATGTCTAGACACATGGGCATTTAAGGAAGACTGCCTCGAGGTGGGCAGCCAGAGGACACTGGTGAGAGCTGCACCACACCTTCCAGGACTGCTCTCTCCTCACCTTATTTCTGCCAAGGGCCCTGACCAGCAGGACTCTTGCTTACACCTGCTTGGGCTATACCCAGGCCCAGCACATTCCTTCCTTCAGCCCCCAAGGGGAGCGAGATGCCTGGAGAAAGCTGCTTGCTCTTGTGCGCTGGCATTGGAGATGGCTGACAAAGAGAAAATGTCCCCACCCCTAGTCGTGTATACTATCATTGGCTTGAACCTACCAAAGAGTGAGGGTAGGGGTGGCCACAGCCCATGCAGGAGGGGAAGGAATGGGCTGCCTTTTGGCCAAGTTACCAGTTATGGTGGTACCTCCTGGGGAAGCCTGCTGCTGACAACTCACCCAGATGCCAGGCCTTCATCCCCTGAGGGCTTTGTTCCTACAGCCAGGGCTCTCCCCAAGCACCCCCACCATGGCCACTAGGGCTGTGGTCAGAGCTTCCCTGCCCCAGAATCAGGCCCCACCCCAGGAGCCAGGCCCACCCTTGCCCCTTTTCTCCCTGCAGCCCTATCAGACCCTGCTGCCAAGGAAAACTGCATGATGCACCTGCTCCGCTCCCTGCCAGACCCCAACCTCATTACCTTCCTCTTCCTGCTGGAACACTTGAAAAGGTAACGGGACTCGGCTCAGCCAGAGGGAGGGCAGGGCAGTCCCACATGTCCTCAGTGCGGCCTCACGGGTGCTGGCTCTGCTGGGCCATCTTGCACTCTTTCTTCTGTTCGGGGAAATACATGGGCCCTGATAGCAGCCTCAAGTATTGGCCATGGCCAGGTGTGTGGTGCACATCTATAGTCCCAGCTGCTCAGGATGCTGAGGTGGGAGGATTCCTTGAGACCGAGAATTCAAGACCAGCCTGAGCAACATAGTGAGACTGTCTCAAAAAAAAAAAGTATTGGCCATGAAATGCTCAGAATGGCAGGGCTAGAGTAAAAGGATGTAGACAGATTTTATAATCAGCAAGCCCCAGCCTGTCAGTGGTTCAGTCAGTTGAGAATTTTTTAACTGAAACAGAATAGGCAATATTGGGGTGCATGGCAAGCAGTAGGCCGAAGTATTGATGTTCAGTTCAGTTATCTATATATGTGTGTACTGGGTTACAGCATCTAATGTGTTTGTTACTGTGGGTCACGGTCAAGAGTTTGAAACCAAGTAATCTTGGCCCACACCTCCTGTAACAGATGGGGAAACTGAGTCTCTAACCAGCAGGGATTTGCTTGGATTAGCAACAAGACTGTCCTTAGAACCCACATCTTCCAAATGTTAAACTAAGACCCTCTTTACCTTTTCTCACCTCTTCCATGGTGAGGGTAAAACACAACTGCCCAAGAAACCGGGCTGGGGATGTGGCTAAGTGCTAAAGCACTTGCCTAGCATTTGCATGGCCCTGGGTTGGATCCCCAGCACCACCAAAACAAACTGTATATACACACACACGTGTGTGTGTAGAGGGGTGTGTGTGTGTGTTTAGGACTGTGGATATAGCTGTAGTAGAGCCCTTGCCTGGCATACATAAGGTCCAGGGTTCCATCCTCAGCACCATAAGAAAAAACTACTGCTTCCCAGAGCTGCTCAACTTGATGCCTGCCTTAGCGTTCAGAACTGAAACTTAGCTCCAAGCTGTCCTCATCACACTTTCCAGCCAGGACTAACCCCAGGCATGAGTGGGGAAAAATTACTGAACATTTCTTAAATCTACCTGCCACCTAGACCAGAGAGCTCCCCCAGATATCTTCTCTATGGACCAGAAGCCCTGAAGTCAGTTCCTGCCTCGGGTCCAAGCACTCACTGGTTCAGCCAGGCCAGGCTCAGGAGGACCAGTGGAGACCTGGACACTGCTGGGGCTGGTGTCTTGTTTTTCCCATTATGAGATATTTTCCCTCTGGTTTGGCCAGGACCAAAGCCCCAACCAATTCTCAAATAGCTTGGCAGGCATTGTGGGAGGATGCACAGAGGAGTGGGAAGGGAAAATTCATTAGGTTTTCCACCCTGGGAACTGGGCACAGTCTGTTCCCACATCTGGCCTTTGGTGGGGACCATGTGGGGGTAGGGGTGGTGAGGGGGCCCGGCCCACTACACAGCTCCCTGTTGGCATCACAGTGTCCGCCTGTTTCCGAAGCAGTCATGGGCATGTCCAGGCTCTTGCCTGGAGGGTGGGAATGGTGGTGTGGTAGAGAACGGGATGACAGGCACTGCGCACAGTGGGTGAATCTCAGCCCCAGAAACATTTCCTAGGACAGGGATAGGCCCAGAGCTTGTCGATGAGTTTGAGCGTGGCTGGACACCAGCCACGGATGGGAAGTGTCTATAGAAATCTGACCTGTTGTGGAAGAAAAACAGGGGAAATCCAAAGAGAGGCAGCTGGGGTCCCAAGAGTGAGCCCTGTGGAGCAGCAGGACAGCCCCTAGGCCTGGCCAGGGTTAGAGCTACTCCTGCCACAGCACAGCAGGCAGAACCTGAGGTCCAGTGAGCAGCTGCTGCCAGGCTTCAGGCCCTCCCCACCTTGCCCCTGCCCTGCCACTGACTCTCCCTCCAGCCACACCCACAGCTGGACTGTTGAATTTGTAGGTAAAGAGTATAAGTTCCTAAATTTAAAAAAAGAAAATTAAATCATGGGTTCTTGGGCAAACTGTCCTGGTTCAGATCCCAGCTCTACCACTTGCTTGGTGTGTGACCATGGGCAAATCACTTAACCTCTCTGTACTTTGGTTCCCTCATCTCTACCACAAGGAAGAAGAAAGTAAGAGTACTTACCTCAAAGGACTGTAACAAGAATACACTAATGCAAGCAAAGTTCTTAGAACAGTAATGTCTCTGAGGCAGTGGTGGTGGAGTTGCTAGCTGTGCGTCCTTCTGGCCCTGGCAGTTTACTATCAGTTCAGCAGCTGGCCAGCAGGCTGGGAGTGTGGTACAGCAGCAAACTGGGACATAGCTGGGGGCCCGGTCCCTTGGCTCAGTGCCCTTGCCATCAGCAGGTGGCTAGCTAACCACCTCCAGGAGTCCTTCCAGGAGTTGACACAGCTGCTCTTGGCTGCCCAGGTTCCTGAGACTCCTAGTAGCCACTGCAGAGTGACCTCTCTGTTCTCCTTGCCTCCCTCTCAGGGTTGCCGAAAAGGAGCCCATCAACAAGATGTCACTTCACAACCTGGCTACTGTGTTTGGCCCCACGTTACTGAGACCCTCAGAGGTGGAGAGCAAAGCACATCTCACGTCGGCTGCAGACATCTGGTCTCACGACGTCATGGCACAGGTACCACCAACACTGCCCACATGCATAAACGCTTCTCTGGGACACCTGCAAGACCCAGAGGAGGCTGCCAAGCTAAAGCCAAGCTCCCTTCTGCCCAGATTGGAAGCTTTTGACATGGGTGTAGTGGCTCCAGGCTCCCCCACACTGTCCCGCAGCGCCCTCTAGTGTTTTAAACAGACAAACATACCTGGGCTTCTAACAGAGTGGGGAAGGTGGCCAGAGCTAGTCTGGGCAGTAGCAAGGGACAACCCAGACTTGGCCCCAGCCTGGGGATCATTTCTTCTCAACATATTAGATTGGGGCCAGGAGGACAAGAACCCCAACCTCAGTCTCCCTGTCTCCCACAGGTTCAGGTCCTTCTCTACTACCTGCAGCATCCCCCCATCTCCTTCGCAGAACTGAAGCGGAACACACTGTACTTCTCCACTGATGTGTAGCCTGAGGCAGGGTGGCTGTGGGGGTGGCCAGAGCCAGCCCCTCCAGCCGGGGCCCAATAGAGACTTGAAAGACTGCAACAGCAACTCCCCAGCCCAGCACTCCAAACTCCAGGGGAAGCTAACTTCCAAGAACTGGAATAAGTGCATCTTTTGTGCCACCTGTACAAAGCCAACTGACCAGCCCCCAGCCTCACCGCCACACCCTGGCTCCTGTCCTCTGTACCTCTAGTTGTGTCTAATGCTCCGTGCTGTTCGGGAATTGTTTTATGTATATTTGTCATGCAGAAAAGGTAGTGACTGACCTGGTGTGGGCACACAGACAGCCTACTTTGTCCTTTCATTTTCCCCAACACTTTCTTTCCTCCTTAGTCTAGTCCAAGAGCTTTTATTTTGCACTGTGTTACTGCTGCCAGCTTCTCCTCTCTTGGCCCTGCTCCCAGATTGCAGCCTCCTGGCAGCCTCCCCAGTGTCCTCTACCCACTCCTTCCCAGCCTGCATGCATGTGCAGCCTCAGGTTTCGTGCCATCACCTGGAAAGTCCTGCAGAGGCTTGGGCAGCAGAGGCGGCAGTGGTGGCCCATCTGATGCTGCCACACACTGCCCCTGGCCTCTCCCTGCCCTCCATTTGTGGAAGCACAACCTGCTTTGCCTTGCTGCCTGTGCAAATATTGGACAAGGAGCCAGACTCACACTAATCCTCAGCTTAGCACAGAGCTGGAAAGCTGATTTCTGGAATTTTCCATTTGAGAACTGCCATTTCTGGGGTTTGTCTATTCTGTCTCCTATCTACCAGTGAGGCATCTTTGACTGTTTCTTCTACTACTGAAATTTCAGTTCTTTTATCCTGCTGTTCTATTTCCTTTGAGTATAAAGGCCCACAGCAAACAACCTGCTATTGAGAGCAAGAGGGTCAGGAAAGCATTTGGGGAGGTGGGGAGCCAGGCTGCTGAGGAACAGGACAGGTGGAGCAGCCAGCAGCGCTGAGCAGCACTGCCAGCGAGTTGTGGGGAAGCCACTCCTGGCAGGAAGGATGTGATAGGCTTTCCTGGGGAGGGCCAGCTTCTGCAGCTGAAGCAGGTGTCCAGACATGAGCAGGCTCCATCATGGAGGCTGCTGGGCACCTCACATACCTCGTGGTACTTTTGCCTTAGATTTTACACTCTCCACAGCCAAGCACTGCCACGGGGCAGCCCCCACTGCCACGTGAGCTCCAGGGCCTGGGAAAGGAAGGCATGATCCAGCAACAGTGTTGCCGCTAACCTGTCCCAGCTTCTAGGTATAGCCTTGTGGGTGAACTCTGGGGGACTCCAGAAGCTGGAGGAAGAGGAATCAATCACCTGCCTCTCTCAGGACTGGCTATGCTGGGGCCAAGAGTAGGGGATCAGTGGGTGCCATTCCCAATTTTGATTCCCATTGCTCCGTACTGGAAAGCAATGAGATTTATTTCCAAAGCACTGTTCCTGTCTGAACAGTGGCTGCCAGCCTGTGGCCATTAGCTGGGAGGAGAGATGCTCTCAGCTGTGGAACTCAAGCTCCAGCCCGGCTCTTTGGCTTTTCTGCATGGAAGAGCTACTCTTAGGCGCTCAGGACTGGGGAGAATAGCTCCCATTTTGCATGTGCTCAGGACTAAGTCTAAAGGAGGTATTGCTGGCGCCAAAGCTGTAGTGCTTGCTCAGTGAGAGGCAGGGCCCTTGCTGGTCCTGTTTACATCTGTTGCCTTCGGCAGAACGGTACACTGCACGCTGGAGGAGAGAAATGCCCAAGAGGAAGGAAATGCTGACCACCCAGCTGCCTGTTAGCAGCTTAGTAAGGAGCCCTGCTCCCTGGGACAGGAGATGAAGAATGCCACTTGAACATAAAGATCCCATTCCTAAAGTCTCTGCTTGGCATTTGGATGCTTGTGTATGGCATGAAAGATTCTTGCTTCCAAAGGATTCAGAGTAACAAATTAGAGGTCCAACAAGAGCTAGTTACAGCCCCAAAAGGGTGCCTTCTGCCCCTTCAAAACAAGGAACATCGGCTTCTTAGCATCAGGTAGCTACTGCCCCACCCCCAGCTTTGCTGAAAGGGCTGAGAAACGCAAAAGCTCATAATATTTATAATCCCACCCTCAGTGGTGAAACCTGGACTGAGCTACACCAAGGGAATACCTGGTGGCTTCTCCTGAGACAGGGACCATGCAGCCCAGAACACCCTTGTCACTATGCCCAGCAGGGTGGCCTGTGCCAACAGGACCCCAGAAGACAGGCTACAAGAATCCCAGGCATGCCTGTCCTTGTAGGGCAGTGGCTGAGGGCTGCCAGTTTTTGCTGATGGAGGTAGGAAAGGACCCTTCATTAATATTTGACTTTAATAAGTTGGTAAGGATATATTTTTTTGTCTCCGTTCTGTTTCAACTTATGTAGATTATTATAAATTGATGTAAACCATGTGAGAGGAAAATGTTAATAAAAAAAAAAAAATGCAAAGCCCCAACATTTGCACAAAACTCAGCCCTGTGGTATGGATGTTTGTGTTCTCAGTAGTCCAGGGAAGACCACCAATCTAAATATTTAACTCTTCCAGCTGTATCCAGATGTGTTTCTAGGAACCTGTTTACCTAGCTGTACTAGAGCCTTCCCCTTGGCCTTCAGGACCAGAGCATTTGGGGGAGGCGAGCCAAGTCATCTCCTTGCTCTTCCCAAAGGCTTCTAGGTCAACTGACGCCAGCAGCTGCTGCCCTCATCATCACTTTGGTTGCTGTAATTCCTACAGAGCTCACCAGCAGTATGCCTTGGAGAGATGGCAGAAAGTTGTCCATTGATTTTCTACATTTTCTCTTCAGTCTCCTTGGAAGTGGTACATCTTTACGACAGCCTTTCAGTCGAATCTGCTTGTCAGAGACCTGCATCCCCCAGAGGGTCCACCCTCCTTTGGGAGAGCCAGTAGGGTCCATGTAGGCTCCCACCAGCCTGAGCCATTCCATTACTGTTTACTCTGGAGATCAGGAACAGATGTCTCTGCAAATTGCTGTTTGGTTTATGAGCTCATACTGGCTCCCTAGCCATCTAAAACAGGAAGCTATTCATCTCCTCTCTTGATTGAACAGTCCTTGTGGACAAGGCTTAGCTTGTTGAACTGATGGCTGACAGCCTCTGGGCTCATCTTTGCCAAGGCAGTTGTGAGGACAGCATTTCTTGTGTTGAGTCTACTGTCCGTGAGCAACTGGTAGGAGATCCCAGGCATCTGAGCACTTTCACAGGTACCAGGTAGGAATGTATGACTGCCCTGGCTTCAAAATGGTCCTAGGGATGAAACAGTTAGGGACAGTATAGGAAACACTCCTAAATTTGTTGAGCTATGGGAATGCTCTAACTGGCCTATTGGTGATGAAGCCTCTGTGCTTGTAAGAATGGGCCCATAGAAGGGCTTGAGTACAGCTCAGTGGCAGAGTGATTGCCTAGTGTGTGCAAGGCCCTGGGTTCTTTCTGCAGCCCTGCAAAAACAAAGAATTTGTCATAGAAGGCCAGGAGTCCTGTGGACTAGCTTATGCTCATTCCAAGGGAACAGCAGACCACCAAAGGAAGGCATTATTAGCCGGGTTTGACCTTCCCACTCATATGTGAATACATACTCAGATGCCTGGATGCTGACGCTGAGTCTGAATTCTGGTTAAGAGTAAGTATGCTACAAGATAGGTCATTTAAGAAGAAAGCAAAAGAAGAAAAGGCAGAGGAGTTACTGAACAGTAGACAAAAAGAGGACCACTGGCTGAGGCAGTCACAGTTACATGGCCCTCACCAAGCTACCTGCCTAACCCCCAACAGGTAAAGTCCGAGTCTGTCAACATCATCTCTGCCAACACACCAGGGGGAAGCAGCCGGTGACAAAGTCCAATCATAAAAGGCTATTTTTTGCCCCAGTGCACAATTAGGCTAAACTGTTGTCAACGTAAAGACTTGAAGCCACTGTGTGGTTCAGCAAGCTGCAGGCAAGCCCATCAGTCAACCCAGCAGGGTTATGCAGGGCACTGCAGTGCATCCTAGGAGCAGCCAGGCTGGGCTTCTGGGGACAGGCTGGCTGACGTAATGAGCTTGGTGACAACGACACAATCCTCTACAAACCTTGAGAGTCATATTCCCAGACTTCTAAGGAGGTTTCTCACTTTCCCACTGGACTGTCACTCTTGAGGTCATATGGCACCATTTTGGGAAATTTGAAAATAAAAATAAACCAGTCCTTTAAGCTATAATATAAATATATATATTTTAACAAGGATAACAGAACACTAAAGAAAATGACACAATTAGTGGATGGCTTAAATTTACTTCACCCTGCCCTGACATGCAAGATGGATGCTTGCAGAGTTCAAAGGCAGAAGAGCTTTCTGGGTAGTGGCAAACATGTTGCCACCTCCATGCCCACAGCACCACACAACCTAGAGGGCTGGATGTGGTCAGGACCCAGCGTGGGCAGAACTTAATTCTTAACAGTCATCCCCGAGACAATCTGGTGTGACACAGCCCCTGGTAGAGTCCAGAAGCGTCAGAGTGGCTGCTCCACATGCTGGAGGCAGAGAGCAGCCAGGCAGCTCCCTCTCACCACCAACTGTATGAGAGAGAACACAACTTCAGCCCCTGAAGCAATGACAAGTGGTGCAGAAATGGTCCTCCAAAGAACAGTTCTGATCCCAGCTGGCGGCTCCTTCCCCTCAGGCCACGCCTCTCATCGTAGATAATAGTCAATTGCAGCAGAGAAAGCAGCAAAACCTCCACAACCAATGGCCCCGGCCTTTATGCCAGCTGTAAGGCAAGCACAGGAAACACTACCTTATCCATGGTAACATGCTGGGCCAGGTGCATTCACAGAAGTCTCCACCACAGATGCAAAGAGCCAGCTTAAGCACATGTAGTCATTACATCAGCTGCTGAGGATGGTTCTATAAGACTTCGATGAGGTGGTGTATTGACCCAGGCCAGTGTGCTGAATCCGACTACATTTGCTTGTTTTCTCATTCCAAAGAATTACTATGGCTAGCCTCATGGAAATAGCCCCTTTCAGGCAGGAAATTGGTTAAGGAGAGCAGCCTTTGGAATCAAATGAAACATATGGCCTTTTACCCGATCTGTTTATGGAATAAATTCCTGGGAAAGTGATCAAAGCAGTCCTGGAGGGAGCTGAGCTTCTCATAGAGGCCCTGACAACACTGAGCAATAGAAAGACCAAAAGAGAAGTCATCTATAAATCCCACATGGCCACAAGAGGAGCAAAAGTGAGCTTTAAAGACAGCAGACCATCCCAACTCTCAAAAACAGACTTTTGCTCTAAGTCAAGATGCTACCTAGGATGCACAACTTCCAGGAAAGTCAAGTTCCTGAGGTCTATACCACACACTCCTAACAGACAACAGGGAGAGGTGGTGAGGACTGGTTTGTTTCTTTGTTGTTCACAACTAATAGGGCTTGAACTCAGGGCTTTCACCTTGAGCCATTCCACCAGCCCTTTTTTGTGATGTTTTGTGTCAACATAAGAGTCCTGTGAATTATTTGCCGGGCTGGCCTTGAACTGCGATCCTCCTGATCTCTACCTTCTGAGTAGCTAGGATTACAGGCGTGAGCCACCAGCACCCAGCTTGTAGTTAACTTTGAATAGGTAGAAATCTAAGAATCCTCAACTGCAGAAATGGATTATTGTTATAATTTATATACAAGATTAAAACTGACAGCTGGGGCTGGGGGTAGCTCAGTGGTGGAGTGCATGCTTAGCATTCACAAGGCTCTGAGTTTGATCCCCAGCATTTCAAAACAAACAAAAAATTGACAGCTGTGTAAAATTAAGAAAAAGTCTAGGATGTGAGGGTGATCTGGCTGTGATATCTGTCACCCCATTGATCACCAGGGTTGATTCGGCTGATCTGGTTGGCTCTGTGAGTGTCCCCTCCTTTCCTCACCCCTCCATGTGCGTCCCTCCCGAAGCTGCGCACTTGGTCAAAGAGGATAACCATCCCCATAGAGGAGGACCATTCATCAGTCAAGGGTATACAAGTAGCTGTGCTCCCCTGCTAGAACCTCCAAACAAGCTCTCAAGAAAAATGTCTAAACTTGAAATTTGCAGGCTGCACTTGTGGACAACAGCTACCCAGGGCTGAGTGGACCTACTAGCTTCTGTGCTATTCTGGACATCAACACACTCCATCTTATTTTCTGTGAGAAAGCTATCTCATACATTCAATATGGGAATAGGTCTTTTTACTAAGAAAGATCTAGATCTGTGGTATGTGGGTGAGGGTGATTTGCCCCCTAGGGGATTTTTGGCAACATTTCAGTTATCACAACTGAAGGGATGCTGTTAGCATTTGGCTAAACACCCTACAATGCACAGGACTAACCCCCGCCCTGGCCAATCCCAGCAAAAATTTATCTGGTCCAAAATGTGAAGACTATAAACCCTGGTATAAATACTATAAAGTTTCTACAACAGAGTTAACAAGCAATCATTTATTTGTCAGAGGGAAGAATATCAAATGTCCCTAGAACACTCATAAGTTTGGAAATGTCAACATCAGCGCGCTGTTCAGGACCGCAAAAGAAAAGCATTGGGAAGCTGTTTACTAACCTCTGAAACCAATGGCTCCTCCAGTGATGCAGCCACTGATGACGCTGTTCTTCCAATCTGACTTTCCCCGGTACTGTGGGCAGAGAAGTGCAGTTTACAGCCCAAGAAATCAACCAGGCAACAAGGAGGAAAAAAGTACAGGGCTTTCACTTGGCAATTTAGTCACTACCCAAAGGAAACCTAATCTTTTCAAAAGCGTAATTCCTAACATTTGAATGTGTTCACAGATGCTGCCTGCAGGTGGCACCAGAGCACCCAAACCAAGTCCAGCCTTTGAGAAATAATAGAAATTTTTTCTCAGGTTCTCCAATAAGTCATTTGTGTTTGTTTTTTGAGACAAGGTCGTCCCATGTTGCCTAGGCTGGCCTCAAAGTTGAAATCTTCCTGCTTCAGTCTCCTGAGTACTGGGATTACAGACACACACCAACTTAACTAGAGTGGGGATGTAGCTCAGTAGTTGAGCACTTGCCTAGCATGTGCAAGGCCCTGCATGAGTTCAACCCTGAATACAAATGGTGGTGGGGGAGGGGGGCGTGCCTAAGCAGAAAATCATTAACTTCTTACCTATAAAACATAAAAAATACTGCAGGCCCATATCATAAACTCACAAGAAGTTTACATTAGGGACTATTTTATGGAAGTACAATTTAGACAGTATCTTGATATAACTGATCTGCATTCTAGGAACATTTTAAGAGCATTTATCTTTAAAAATGGTGTGATGGCTGGGCTGGCAGTGTGGCTCAAACAGTATTGTGCCTGCCTAGCAAGCGTGAGGTCCTGAGTTCAAGCGCCAGTACCACCAAATTTTTTGGAAAAAGTGGTGTGATGGCAGCAGGCAAAAATTTCTTAAGACAGCAGAGAGACACTTACAGATTCCACCAGACACTCAGTACAGGAAAACATGGCGCCCACAATGGCAAAATTTTTGGCATAGGACATCCCTCTTTGCCCCATGTCTTTCAGAACTTCTTTTGCAGTTGGTGTACGATAAGGGTCCTTAGGGTCAAAGCCCACGTTGGTATCAATGCCGGCAGTAAACACCCCAAATGCACCTCCCAAAACAAATCCTAAAAGCAAACAGAGAGGAAGATTTCTGTGACAGGTTTTCATGATTACTGCATTGGGATCATATTTGAAGACAGCCTTTTGGATCTTTTGTTTCCCCTCTGGACCTTTGGATGTCATGCACTCACTCTCTCCACTTGCCTCCACCTTACACAATTCGGGGTCTCTCTTCTCTGCCTCCTTTAGGATTTTTCCCTCCTTCCATTTCCTAAAATTCCTTGTGAGGCTTTAACCCTCTGTTCTCTCCACACTTTAGTATGTAAACCAACCACCCTCAAGGTCAGCTATCAACTTTGTAAATCACTCCCTTAACCATGATGGCATTCACATTAGTCACTTACACCATGTGTCAGATACTCAAATGCTTCCAAGTCACTTTCTCATTTATTCTTCACAATAATCCTTCATTTATAGATAAGAAAACTCAGCCTCAGAGAGGTTAAGCAACTTCCCCAAGTCACACAGCTACCAAATGGGGAGTCCTACATCCACATACAACCTTGTCCAATAAGTCATTGGACATTTCCATACATGTCTTTACATCAACTCAAGGTCAACATGAGATCAGTGAAATCATGGATATTTCCCCTCCAGACTTCTGTTTATGGCTCCTTCTTTCCAGCCACTCCAGCTCCAAAACTTTCTTCTTTCCACTGTCATTTTTAAAAATTTGCACTCCTACCATATTCTCTCTTTTTTTTTTTTTTTGGTGGTACTGGAGTTTGAACTCAGGGCCTTGCACTTGCTAGGCTCCCAACCACTTGAGCCACACCTCCAGCCCCTTTTGCTTTTTCGTTATTGTTCTTTACTTTGTTTTCTTCTCTCTACCTTGTCACACCACCGATTGAAGCAAAACAACACAACACACTGCCACTTCACCCAAAAGCTGTGTTCTTACTCTTCCCCTTATTGACAGCTCAACGGGTCATTAGCACAAGGCCCACCGAGTGTTTTTAAAAGGGGGATTTTTAGTTGTTTTTCGAATAGGGTCGCCCCCTTTTTCCCCAGGGCGGGCCTTGGGACCAGGATCCCCGGACTCATGACTCCCAAGTAGCTGGAGTTACAGGTGTGCATCACTGCGCGTGGAGGCAGGGTCTGGCTGGCCTCAAACGTCGATCCTCCTCCACTGAGCAGCCGGGATTACAGCCGTGCCCGGCTATGTTCATTTCTTAAATGTCCTTCATTTCCAATGGAACTTAAACTCATCTGCAAATGCGGCCAACCTCTACCTGCACACAGACGCACGCTGTCCATTCTCAAATCCTCCAAAGGCTTGTCTGACCCAACTCCCTCGGGAAGGCCGGCAGCCCTCGGTCCCCCAGACCTCGCCTCACCTCCCACGCAGGCCAGCGCTGCCTTGAAGGCGCAGCTTTCCATCGCCCTCTCCATCATCTTCTGCTCCTCACTCTTGGCGGGACTCGGGATCCCGCCCAGGCTCCCAGGCTCCAGGAGCCGAGGCTGACGCTTGTCGCCGACCAGGTACTGCAGAAGAAGGCTATACTGTAGCGGGGCTTCGGGGGAACCCGCTGCCTCAGGCGCTGAGGCGCCGACATTGGAGGCGGCCGCCGCCATGACAGCCACGGCCTAAGAAAACCTCGCGTCGTACTCCCACAGCAGATTCCACAAGCTTCCCTGAGCGGCGAGCTGTGGTGCAGCAACGGCAGATTCGACACATCGGGGACGCTGAGGAAGCAAAAATAAGTCCGTGAACCCTTAGCAAGAGAGCTGTCATGTTTCCCAAACGACTCCAGTGAACATCGAATCAGCTTGCGCAGCACTGCCAACAGACTGACACACAAGATTCACAGTCGCCAGAAAGCGCCCTCATCTTTGGGGCTGCAGCGCGGTGCACACGGGGATTTGTAGTTCCAACTGGAACACCCGACTACATTTCCCAGGAAGCCATGCGCGTGCTTTCGCGGGTGAGCTCCTTACCGGCGGACCCCACTCTTTCGACTGCAGGCTGCAGTCCCCCGGAAATCCGGCAGGAGGCGCACGTGCCTCACCACTGCCTTTCGCGCCTGATCGAGGTGTTGCGGGTGGGGGAAGTTGCTTGTTTTTGTTTTGTTTTTCTAAGATGGGAATCCTGCTATATTGCCAAGGCTGTTCTCGAACCTATGAACTCAAGTGATTCTCTCCCTCTGCAACGTGCTCAAGTAGCTGAACTATAAGCCTATATCACCATGTCTGACTTAATTGGGTGCTAAAGGTTTTGTGAGATGCAAATAGATAAACGTGGAAGGATGGTGTAACTGTGTGCCATGAATGTTTTGTTTGATAATAAAGCCTTTGAGGAGAAAGAAGGATCCAACAAATGAGTAAGAAACTTATCAGGACTGTGATAAGAAGTGGAAGTAGCCAGGCCCAAGGGAGGCTGTGGCTGGTACAGCGGGATATCGATGGGGGACTTGTATTGCCATTTAAAAAGCCAAGTTTATGGTAGGTTGAACCAATTCAAGTGTTTACCATCTTGTAAATTTAATACCTAAAGGTAAACTGTGAGCTAGGATTAATACACACAAAATATTTCGCAGTGGTTTTATGGTACTCAAATAAATCCCAAACCATTGAATTGATTTGAACTAGCAATTTTTTTTCTATTTTATTTTTTGCAGTGCTGGGGATGAAACCCAGGGCTTCATGTATGCTAGGCAAGTGTATGTATGGGGGTGTGCTACACCCCCAGCCCAACAAATCACTTGGGTGTCTCAGCTAAGACAAGCATGCATGGAAACAGAAGGTGAGGGGAGTCAGTCACTAGAATTCACCGTGTATCCCAGGCTGGCCTCAGACTTGTGATCCTCCTACTTCAGCTTCCTGAGTGTGGGCTGACAGGTGTGCACCACCATGTTTGTCTCTCCACCTTAAATTTTCTTTCTCTTTCTTTCTTTCTTTTCTTCCTTTCTTTGACAGCATTAGGGTTTGAACTCAGGGCCTCATGCTTCCTAGGCAGGCACTCTTACCACTTGAGCCACTCTACCAACCCCTTTGTGTGTGTGTGTGTGTGTGTGTGTGTGTGTGTGTGTGTGTGTGTGTGTTTTGGATATTTTCTTTTCGAGATAGACTATTTGCCTGGGACTGGCTTTGAACTGAAATCCTCCTGATCTCTGCTTCCTGAGTTACTAGAATTACAGGCGTGAGCCACTGGTGCCCAGCTCAGCTTAGATTTTCTTACAGACACAGGACGTTTCTTTTTTCTTTGGCGGTTCTGGAGTTTGAACTCAGGGCCTCTTGCTTGGTAGGCAGGTGCTCTACCACTTGAGCCATGCCTCCAGCCATTTCACTTTAGTTATTTTGCAGGTAGGATCTCACTTTTTGCCTAGAACTAGCCTCAGACCACGATCCTCCTACCTATGTCTCCCATCTAGCTGGGATTACAGTTACAAGTCACAATGCTTAGCTTACTGAATGAGATGAGGGTCTCACTATTTTTTTTTTCCCAAGATAGCCTCAGACCACTATTTTCCCAATCTCTGCCTTCCACACAACTGGTATTACAGACATAGCCACTATGCCTACCTAGAACCAGACATTTCTGATAAGCACTTGTAACTCAATACACTATGCCAGACACCCTCCCCTCCTCTCCTTCCAGATAAATGAACGGCCCAGGGCTCTGATTCAAGTTAAGATCTTAAGAGCCAAAGTTGTAGCCAGGCTCTGGTGGTTCACGCCTGTAATCCTAGCTACTCAGGAGGCAGAGATCAGGAGGATCACGATTCGAAGCCAACCTGGGAAAATAGTTCACAGGACACTGGTCTCAACAAAAAACATCACGAAAAAGGGCTGGTGGAGTGGCTCAAGGTGAAGGCCCTGAGTTCAAGCCCCAGTACTTAAAAAAAAAAAAAAAAAAGAGCCAAAGTTGTACCTGAAAGGTACTTGAGCCTTCTTTCTCAGGCAAGGAGGCCTTGAGAGGCAAAGAATGGTCTAAAAAGCTAGTCAGTAGGACCAGGTAAAGAGCAATAATCAAAAATAATTCAAAAGGAAGGGTCTGCCTCAAAGGTCAAGAAGGACCACATCAGATGGAAAAAGTCCCTGTGGCAAAAGGACACAAGGGAAGGAGCTTTTTATGGAACTCCCTTGGCCGGATCATAGATGGGGAGGGAGCAGTTATGCCCATCTGCTATCTCCCTCCCCTATCTCCTTCCAAAAGCAGAATAGATTTCACCTGATGGAAAAATTTGAACATCCCCTCCCCGCCACCCCATCAAGTGTGCTCTGAAAGGGAAAAGTGGTTTCCCGCATCTGTTTCCCTGGATCCAAATCTAGGATCTTATCTAACTATGGCATCGTTGGGAGCCCAGCAGCCCAGATTACAGCCTGGTCCACCCCAGGTTGTCTGTCCTGGTCGCAAGGATACAGGGTTGGGACAGCATCTCCATAGGTCAGAAAGAACAGGGGGCAGCTAGAGATGTGTCACATTTGCAGGGAGGATCGTAGAAGAATCAGGTAACACTGAGTGGATGAACCTGCCCTCTAAGGACTGGAGGTGGTGCCCATTGTCATGTGGGGAATCAGAGGGGTCCGTTTGGCTTACTCTGGTGTCCATGAGACCCCCAGCTGCACTGTAATTCTGCTGCCCTACTGTCAGAGTCCAGAAGTGAAAGAAATAGCACAAGCTGGGGTGGAATGAGGAAGTTCATTGGGGGTTGCAGGGTGTTGCATGTGGAGTTGAGTTGCACGTGACCTGATAACAGTGAGATGTTTCAATAGCCCTGTCACTGGTAGGAGGTACAGTCTGACGATACCGAGCAGTTGACTGGTTTATTATAGATAGTGGGTATTGGACACATGACTTGTTATTCAAAGGGCCTGATCAGTGTCCTCTAAAACCAAAGGCTAAGTAAGTAAGGGCTTAGGGACATGTGGTAGCTGAGAAACTCACGAAAAAAAAAGTTATATAATGAGCAGCTGTTGCTGGTCAGGATGGGAGCTGCGATGCTCTGAGAAGGTGGCTGTGTCCACCAGAACTACTGTGTGCTCACATGAGGAGTGAAAGCTAGGATGCTTAGGAATCAAGAGTTGCTACAATCTTGTGCAGCATGTTAGTTTTAGCATAGGGCTCCCAGCAGCCCTGCAGACAGGCTTGGCTTCGCCCCCATCCTCCATTCCCACTCTCCATCTCCATCCTTTAACCCTCCATCCCCTATCCCCCAGTCCCTGTCTCCCCCATCCCCTCACCCTCCATCCCTCCATCCATCCATCTTAACTCTCCATCCCCTATCTCCTATATCCTCCACCCCTCCATCCCCCATCCCACCATCCCAAGACATGGGACTTTGGGCCAGGCGCAAGTCACTTATACCTGTAATTCTAGCTACTCAGGAGGCAGAAATCAGGAGGATCTTCATTCAAAGCCAGCCCCAGGCAAATAGTTCACAAGACCCTATCTAAAAAAAAAAACTCATCATAAGAAAAGTGCTGGTGGAGTGGCTCAAGGTATAGGCCCTGAATTCAAATCCCAGTACTATAAAAAAAACAAAACAAAATACATGGGCCTTTGGCCCAACGTGGTTTCTCTGAGGTCTCAGGAGGCCACACCCATGAAGGGGTTGGCAGGAAATGCTCTGAGCTGTGAACAGGGAGTAAAAGGACTGAATCCTAGAGCCCCAAAAGAGGAGAGGACTTCAGAAAACAAGGAACCCACCAAGGAGCAGTTAGACAGCAACAAACTCAGACCCTCTCAGGCTCCCAAGCAAGGGGAGGGGAGCAGAGTTGAGAGGCACCTCAGTGGGCATGGCTTTTATTGTGCACCCACAGATGGAAGCTGATATGGGGCTTTCACTACTCAAACCTGTGCTTCCTGTGTCTCTGCTCAGATGTCTTGCTTCCTGCATCATCCATACACCTTCTAACCATCTTCAGACCCATCCCATCTTTTTCCTGCTCACTGCAGAACCTCCATCACACCTCAATTTGTTTGTGGTGCTAGAGATTTGAACCCAGGACGTGGTACCTGCTAGGCAAGTGCTCTACCACTGAGCTATGCCCAGCCCTAATGATAGACTCTTTTTTTTTTCATTTTTTTTTCGTTTTTCTTTTATTATTCATATGTGCATACAAGGATTGGTTCATTTCTCCCCCCTGCCCCCACCCCCTCCCTTACCACCCACTCCGCCCCCTCCCTCTCCCCCGCCTCAATACCCAGCAGAAACTATTTTGCCCTTATTTCTAATTTTGTTGTAGAGAGAGTATAAGCAATAATAGGAAGGAACAAGGGTTTTTGCTGGTTGAGATAAGGATAGCTATTCAGGGCATTGACTCACATTGATTTCCTGTGCGTGGGTGTTACCTTCTAGGTTAATTCTTTTTGATCTAACCTTTTCTCTAGTTCCTGGTCCCCTTCTCCTATTGGCCTCAGTTGCTTTTAAGGTATCTGCTTTAGTTTCTCTGCGTTAAGGGCAACAAATGCTAGCTAGTTTTTTAGGTGTCTTACCTATCCTCACCCCTCCCTTGTGTGCTCTCGCTTTTATCATGTGCTCAAGTCCAATCCCCTTGTTGTGTTTGCCCTTGATCTAATGTCCACATATGAGGGAGAACATACGATTTTTGGTCTTTTGGCCAGGCTAACCTC